ATGCCGTATAAATCGGGATTATTGACAGGAGTTTTTATTCTTATTGCCCGTGGTATAGAAAACTAGCAAGCTGCTAGTAAATTCCTAACGTCGGAGATTTTTTTGTCACAAACTTTAATCCTGGATCTGTAGTTTCTGATTCTTTCGATAAGCGCTAAATTAACACCTGTTAATGTGAAAAAACAGACCATTAATTGAAATGTACGGTTTTTATCTTGTAATCAGCCTATGTCAACTATCGAACAGCCGCAGGGAACGCATCAGACAGCCAGTCACTGACCTGCGAACAATAACAGCAGCATAATCGTGACTTCCGTAAATTTCTTGTATCATCACAATGGAACAGCATACTGTCACTACTGTTAGGGTTAATGCGGCTTGCTACTCGTTTATCAGCTGGTTGCATACAAGCATAGTGTTGTGAATTCCTATTTCAAAGAAATTAGCAGTTAACAAGAACCTGTTTGTGCTGTCCAATGGGATTTGAACGCAGCCTCCCGAAAGTTACTACAATAATCACTAATCACTGCACCTCGCTTGTACCTGCCAGAGAGATAGCCGATTTATTACTTTCACAAATACGGCACTTTAAGCCGAAACCTCCCAGCGGTTACAAAATTTCGCCTTCCTTTACCTCGTTGTTCCAAGTGGTAGGAACAAGCAAGCTGACAAAAATGAGGGAAAACTTTCAGTACCTAAGAGCTTATATTTTCTCTCCTTAACTTGCTCTCCTCAAAGTAAGCAGGGAAAGCGGGTTTGTGACCAGTGGATCGATCTGTGTCGTTCAGAGCGTTAAGTGGCAAGCGGATAAAAACTTTCTGCAGATGTGCAGATTTCAGGCGCGTTTAGTGCTCGCCGTTACTCGTCATTTTGAGTGACATGTCTCACACGGACGGCAAGCAGAAATTAGATTTTTAACGAAGTCCTCAAGCGGTCCACCCGCATTTATGACATAAAAATATGCCGCTGTCGCTAAATTAACATTTGAAAATACCCGTGTACTACTCATTAGAGTAAATGATGTAACGGAAGTTTTAAAGGGAAAAGCGCACTGCTTGACTGGAAAATGACTAAAAACTATGACGTCTGGTACAAGAGGTTGAAACGCGCTTTCTGAGACGAATCTTCTTGGCTCAGGCGTCACACGGTTTCGAAATACAGATATTCGAGAGCCTTGGTGCACAGCCGCTGTTTCTGCAGACCGAATAGTCACAGCTGCGACAGTCTGGCCACGTCTAGCGAATACGTCCGAAACGGCAGACGAAACAGCTACTAGTTGCTCAAACGATGGGCGACCAAGAATGACCTGGGGCAAGAGAAGCGACAGAACGTTCTTCAGGAACGTTCGAGACATGTCTGACGATGTTGCTTCCGCTCTCCGAAAAAGATAAGCGGTCATCGAAAATAAAAGACTGAGAGGCAGTATCGCTCTGAAATAAGATTTCGCAAATAATTTACTAAAAAATAAATTTTTCATGCATAATGTCCTGTCACTTCTCCAGGTCTGCTTCTAGCGGCATTTAAATTTCTTCAAGGAGGCCAAAACTGCACAGTATTGCACTGCAAAACATACAGACTATCCAGCTTCAACAACCACATCTTGAACGCAAAACAGATCAATCATTTGACTAGTTTCAGCTGTAAACTTTGGTATATAAAGTTTCCTCTCCCGCTGCCGAACTCGTTTTCTTTGGCTTGAAGGAGCGAACGGCTTACAACCATTCACCTCTACTGGCAAATATCATGTGCAATGTAACGTTTTCTGATAGTCATTGAATTTGTTGCCGCTATCCGGATGAAAGAGGGGTCCAAACCAGAGTTTTTGGAAACCAACCTGGACGCACCACGCGCTGCTGGAACCTCTGAGAACTGACCACCGATTTGTAAAGCAACTGCTAGCGTAAGTCACGAGACACCAGACAGAGCTCTATTGCTGTTGTTATATCACTGAAGATGAGCTAGTTGTAACCCCCACCACGCTTCTCGATTTTACGAACGATTCCGATAGTGACGCCATCGTCGCAACACCATGTCAGTAAATCTT